TGACAAAGAGATTAAAATTTTTCACTCGATAAAACCTTGTGCATTTGTAAAACCTGCACGATGACAATAGTTAGAATAGTTAGCTGGGGATGTGTCTACCTTGTCAATCAAAGGCCAGACGCGTTAGTGATTGGCTCTGTGGAGCTCCAGGCCCCGCCCCCTCTGGTGCACACCAGTGTTGAAACGAAACCGTTGGGACGCCGAGTGCTTCAAACGGAGGCGCTCCAGGCGAACCTGTGCATGTATGCACGTCTGGCAGAGCCGAACCGACACGCAGGAATATTCTGAATCGGTAATTTCTCAGGTGCTGGGCTAAGATGATACATGATACCATCATGATACTGACCTTTGCAGTGTCCGAATGGCTAATCGGATCAAGGGATAGGGGAGGCAATAGAAAGGCCCGACAGGTTCCTCCTTCTCTCTCTATCTCCCACTAGTTGATGGACCATGTTGATGGACCATGTCAGCCTCCCACCTACAGGTGGTCTGCTGACCTGGTGCAGGAAGAACAACCTGGACCTCAACACTCTAAAAACAGTAGAGATGGTCGTGGACTTCAGAAAGAACGCAGCCCCATGTACCGCCTCAACCTCTGTGAATCCACACTGTGGAGCCTCTTCGCTTCCTGGGAACTATCATTTCCCAGTACCTAAAATGGGAGCTGAACATCGACTCCCTCACCAAGAAAGCCCAGCAGAGGATGTACTTCCTGCGGCAGCTGAGGAAATTCAACCTGCCTAAGGACGATGGTGGTGCAGTTCTTCTCCATCATTGAGTCCATCCTCACCTCCACCATTACATCTGGTACACTGGTGCCACAGACAAGGGCAGACTGCAGCGTGTCATCCAGTCTGCTGAGAAGGTGATTGGCTAAAATCTTCAATCTCTCCAGGACCTGAACGCCTCCAGGACTCTGAGGCATGCAGAGAAGATTGTGGCTGATCCCTCCCACCCCAGTCACAAACTATTTCAGAGACTTCCCTCTGGCAGGAGGCTGCGGTCCATTAGGACTAAAACCTCACAATACAAGAACAGTTTCTTCCCATCTGCTAACAGCCTTATCAACAAGGCCAAGAGCCACCTGCGACACTTGACACTGCTTCTCTCCCCTGTTCAAGACTTATAAGTTACAGTGTTACACCAATGTAAGATCTCCTGACCTTACATTAACATTACAGTCTACTGTTGTCATGATGGGTGCACGAAGAGTGACCCAAATATGCAGAACACCACTAGACAGACACAAGAGTAAAAGTTTAACAAGTTTATTTGGTCACAAGCACACTGATTAGACTGGTTCTGGTTCGGGCCTGGAAACTGGTTCACCGGAGTCTGCGTGAGAGACAGTTCAGTTAGTGTTGCACTTAGGAGCTTGCTTTCTTGATTGTTACTGATTGTACCTTGAGGGTTCTTGTAGATAACTTTGAGAGGGTCACTGTTGGATCTGGAGAGGAGTTGATCAGCAGAGTCCGCTAGCTGCTTCAGCGTCTTACTTCTAGTTCTGAGCAGACCTTGGCTTTGGGTTTTCCAGCTCTTAGTCCTGAGCTGCATGGAAGTTCACTGAGGTTCTTCAGGTTTGGCTCTGAGGGTCGGCTCGGCAGGTTAGCTCTTCCTGAGCTCCACAGAGGAGAAACTGGTTTCCTGGAAGACAGAGACAAGGGTTAGAATCCAGGTTGGATTCAAAAGTCACAAAGATTCACTGAGAGTCTAGGCTTAGGCGCTGACCAACTGCATCAACACTGCGGCGTTGAGGCAAGGTCCGAAGACAGCTTATGTAGTGGATCCTCTGATGATCTGATGGGCTGCAGCTGTGCAGAAGGCTCACTCAGGAGGATCCACGGCGGACTCTGCTGGAGAAAGGTGGAATTTCTCCAGCTCCTAACAACTGTGAACATAGCTCTAGATTGTATATGTATGTGTGTGTATATATATATATATATATATATACACTAGTGCTGTCAATCGATTAAATTTTTTTAATCGCGATTAATCGCATCAATGCCTGAGTTAACTCGCGATTAATCGCATTTTAATCGCACATTTTTTTCCTGATTGAAAATCATTTAAATACTCTCGATGACATACAAAAAAATACATACAGGCTAGGTTTGTGCCAATGTTCTTTTTTTAAAATGAAAACAGGTCACAGATACTGATTTATGCCAAAAATAACAAATATGTAGCCAAAAAAAAGGCCCTGAAAACAGGCTGATGTAAAAGACAGTCTTTACAGTTAATACAGTCTTTTGAACAAAGACAAGCATTTTACCCTACTGCTATAAAATTTAGTAGAGTTAACATTAGATGTTAATTAACCAAGATAATAATGAACAATTTTCAATCAATACATCAAAATCAATAGACCGACATCACTAGATGGAGGTAGTCTATGCTCTAGAAAGTTACTTTTCAGCCTCTTAACAAAAATGAGAACACACACACAAGCACCCACCCACACACCCACACACACACACACACACACACATGATACCGACCTGTGGCGTACACAGACAGCAAGAGTGCTGTAGCAGATTCCATTTCACCTCAGTAATCTGTTTTGTCAGCGTATTTCAGGTTGCTACTAGTTACCAGCGCTCAACTTGTTTGTTGGTGGTGGGGCTTAAAGAAAAGGCACTAGCGTCACCCAGTGTATGAGCGTCTTTTTCCCTTGAGGAGGTCCGCTCTCGAAGCCTATGAGAAATGCATACACTGGGGGAAAATAGCCCCGCCTTCCCACAGGCTGCAGCGGGATGTACTTGGAAAATTGTACCATAAAACCACATAGCATTAATCTCACGTTAAAAAATTTTCGCCGTTAAAATGGCCTCGCGTTAACGCGATAATAACGCGATCATTTTGACAGCACTAATATACACACATACATATACATATATACACACACACACACACACACACAATCTAGAGCTATGTTCACAGTAGACTGTAATGTTAATGTAAGGTCAGGAGATCTTACATTGGTGTAACACTGTAACTTATAAGTCTTAAACGGGAGAGAAGCAGTGTCAAGTGTCGCAGGTGGCTCTTGGCCTTGTTGATAAGGCTGTTAGCAGATGGGAAGAAACTGTTCTTGTATCGTGAGGTTTTAGTCCTAATGGACCGCAGCCTCCTGCCAGAGGGAAGTCTCTGAAATAGTTTGTGACTGGGGTGGGAGGGATCAGCCACAATCTTCTCTGCATGCCTCAGAGTCCTGGAGGCGTTCAGGTCCTGGAGAGATTGAAGATTTTAGCCAATCACCTTCTCTGCAGACTGGATGACACGCTGCAGTCTGCCCTTGTCGTTGGCACCAGTGTACCAGATGTAATGGTGGAGGTGAGGATGGACTCAATGATGGAGGAGAACTGCACCACCATCGTCCTTTGGCAGGTTGAATTTCCTCAGCTGCCGCAGGAAGTACATCCCCTGCTGGGCTCTCTTGGTGAGGGAGTCGATGTTCAGCTCCCATTTTAGGTCCTGGGAAATGATAGTTCCCAGGAAGCGAAGAGGCTCCACAGTGTGGATTCACAGAGGTTGAGGCGGTACATGGGGCTGCGTTCTTTCTGAAGTCCACGACCATCTCTACTGTTTTTAGAGTGTTGAGGTTCAGGTTGTTCTTCCTGCACCAGGTCAGCAGACCACCTGTAGGTGGGAGGCTGACATGGTCCATCAACTGTCGTCCTATAATTCTCTTCTTGACGACTTAAAAGTGAAGCTAAGTTTTATAAAAATTCAAAGTTCTTAAAAAGCAGAAAAAGTCTCAAACAAAGATCAAAAAATTCAGACAGAGGGCAGCTAAGTCCGGGTCCAGTGTTTATTGCTAAACACTACATATTTACACAGAGCTGGTGAGCCGAAGCTGACAAATGGTGAAACCAGCTCCCTTTTATACATTTCTTTATCGGTGGAAAAAACCCCTTCAGAACATATTTCAGTCATTGGTAAAGGTCACATTGATATTTATCTGCAAAACACGGTGACATTCATAGACACATCTCATACTTGTGAGAGCACTCTCTCAGGCCATGAAAACACCTGTTGCATTCAAATCAGAAACTTATGACGGTTTAGTCAAAAACATGTCAGCCCTTGCTTCAAGCTATGTTAATCTACCATACTGCTCCCCCTTCATCTCATCACCCATTACTGCTCCGTGTGCTTTGAAAATAACAACTCCTTTGTATGGCCAGATATTTGCTGAGCTGGACTACCTTGGGATGTCAAATATTTCATTTTTATTGCGGGTGCTTTTCTTATCACTAAGGGGCCTCAGCCCTGCGTTGTCCTGCAAACCTCCTCTTGGGGCCAGGCGCAATGGATACACACACTCACTACTCTGCACTTCTCCTCTTAGCCTTGAACTGCTCTGTTTTTCTCATTTGTGAAAAACAACTTTAAACTTATAAAACATTAACTTTATTTTATCTTATGTTTAGTGCAGATTAATACACAACATTCCCCCCTTTGATCCTAAAAGGATCAATTTACGTGATTATGCAGGTGATAACTAATCTAAAACACTTTAAATGTGAACTCACCCAAGTGACAAAAGTTTATATATATATATTGTGCACACTAAACTAAACGTGAGATTAAATACACACCATATAGTAGAAGTGAGTAATATAAGATGTGGTGGTGTCTGAGTAAATATTAAACTAATAAAATGCAGAAAACAGAATATATAAAAACAAAGAGGGATCCCCCTCTTGGCTCCCTTAAGAGGACCCGTCCTCGTTGCTTACTTTTTTTTTGTAGCAAGATTTTCTAATTTTGTTTTCTCAGCAGAGGCAAATACCAATGCCCAAGCAGCATCTTGTGTTACGAGGTCACTGCATTTATCCCCTACATTGGTGGTATTTCACACCCATACATACACAAACACAAACAAAAAGCTTCATCAGGCCCGGACTATGCCAGGCAAACACATCTTCTAATGGTCAAAGGACCGTCATTACAACCAACATAGGAGTAACCATGTGGCACTCTCCTTCACAGTAATTGTACTGTCACATAAAGTATACAATATGTTTAACAAAGGTATGCATAATCATCAATAATCAGCATTGTCCTTATATCCAGTTATGGCGTTGAAGTTGATATATTAATAATAATAATAGCCTCCATAATTCTGTCCATAATTCTGCCCTCCGTTCAGGCCCCCCTGGGTGTAGGGAGCCATATGCTGCAGATCAGCGGTCAGCTGCATCACTTGCTCTTGTAGGTCGATAATGGTCTGCTGTGCATCTCGAAGTTGCACCACCTGCTCTTGTAAGTTGATAATGGTCTGCTGTGCATCCCGAAGTTGCTGCCTCAGTTCCAGATTGTCTCGGGTCAGCTGCCGATTCCCAGCCTTTACTTTGCGTTTGTACATGGTGCGGCGCATCCGTTCAAAGGACCGACGTGGCTCGGGGTGCGCCAGACCCTTCATGAATTGGGCATAAACTGATGTGGTCATAGAGGTGATTTCAGGCTTAAGGTCAGCGTTGGTATCATAGGACTCCAGCGGATGAGCCAAGAACTTTGCAACATGATGAGCTTCGGCAAGATCAAGCTTTATGTCATCTGCTATGACCACGAACATAGCCAGTACGCCTGGAATGGGTGGTGGTGGATAATTATATTGGTGGGGTGACGGTGGTCGTCGATCCTCGGGATTCTCAGGACTAGCAGGGGTGCTGGTTGGGCCGAAATCGATACTGAGGTTCCCCAGTGATGACGAGATGGACAGTGGCTTCCCAGTAGGTAATGGTGGTTGATCATCAGGCTGCCTGCTGGGTGTCATCATCGGTTGATCCTCAGGCTGCCTGCTGGGTGTCATCATAGGTTTGCTCCAACCCGAAGGTGCACTGCTTGGCCCCTCTGCAGGATCTAGTAGGTGCCTGGGAGGAAGATATGGGCATCCTACCCCTAGTGATGGGCCTAACGATGCCAGTGCAGCTCGTAAATTCATTTGGTTTTCTTCATATTCATCATAACTAGCCTCTGCCATGTTCAATAATCTACCTGTGGGGACATAGTATGGCAAATTTAGGCATCATCTGAAGGCATATTATCTCTTATATCTATGGATTATTCAGCATGCAAGTTGCTATATCTACGTGAGTAAGTATATAAGTCATTGTTATGCAAAATATTTATATATATACACTGTGGTTATTAAAGAAATGCACGTACCTGGTGAGGGTGGAAGGTGATCATGGTTATGTTTTATATCTCTTGGTCCAATTGTATCTCTACAACTGGGAACTGACCAGTTACACTTACAACAAGTCTTGAGACCAGTCCCCGAACAAGGGGTATGATGCAACACACAACTATCAATATAATCAGTATTAGTGCCCCTAGAATCATTCCTGCTGCCTCAAGATATTTTCCCCTTCCAAGCTTGTGAAACCAATCCCAGAATCCCTTCAGCTGAGTGCTCTGGGCAGTCGCCTATTTTACTTCCTGGAATAATCTGAAGGGCTGGTAATTTTTTAGCATTATAGCAGGCTATACAATCATCTTTAGGGCGCTTTTTGGCTTTGAACATTGCCTGGACAGAGTACTGAATCCATTGTTGGAACATATTGGTTTCCCAGTGTGCAGTCTTTAATTTGTCTAGATCTCTTTTCTGCCTTTTGTTTACCAATTTTACCATTCTATGCGCTTTCCCTACCATCATTACCTGCTCTGTTAATGTATTTTGGCATATGTTCATTTTGCATCTTACCTCAATGATCACCATCCCATCCTCACGGCAGTCCATGCTTTGTGGAACTCCAAGCCAATGTTTCCCCATTGAGTTACCTAAAATTTCTTCAGACATTACATAATCATATCCTTTGACTTGCACATGCATTAGTGATAAATTTTCTCCATCATTATTATTGATTACCCCTTGGTTAGTGGCTAGTGTTACCATTGCTAGTGCACATGTTTGTGTGTGACGCATTAAATGTGTGTGTGCACTGTTAGTATTAATTTTCATAAGATCCCCCCTTGTTAACCCACAAAGGGTTAACACAACAAGAAAGTTAATCAAAGTCTGAAGAAGGCGCATACGGGAGACGCCCAGACGGCGATGGGGTGGGCGGGACCGAGTGGATCGGCGGCCCACTTTCTTCGGAGGAGGAAGGGGAAAGGGAGGGGATGAGAGGGAAAGGTGCAGGTGAGGGATGTTAAGGGGACAGGACTCCACCAGCATCTGATGGGCCAGAAGAAAGAAGTTCGTCCAGTGCCTGAACGACGGATGGATCTGGGTGAGACCCAGAAGAAGTCTCAGCGGCAGAAGGATCATCATCATTGCATTGGTCGACCTGTAAGCATTTCATGAGGAGTAAGATGGGTTATGCGGTTAGTTTGAGAACGCATTGCCATTAATGCAACAGGCAAGGCGTCCACCCAAGTCAAACGGTTGTTGCTGTCAGCTATTATCTTAGCAATCTTCGATTTCAGGATCCCGTTAGCTCGTTCCACGGATCCCTGTGACTGGGGATGATACACACAACCAAACTTTTGTTTTATGCACAACAGTTTAAACATTTGCTGGATCACCTGTGAAACAAAATGTGGTCCGTTATCAGATGATATTGTGTCAGGCATGCCAAATCTGGGAAAAACTTCTTTACACAAAGACCATGCTGCTGCTTTGTGGTCATTATGAGCAGTGGGACATGCTTCTACCCATCTGCTAAACCTACAAACAACCACCAACATGTACCTCTTTCCCTGAACCCGAGTTATCATGTCTACGTAATCCATCATCAGATGGCGGAACGGACCGTCTGGCATAGGGATATGTGCCAAGGGTTGAGTAAACATTTTACGCACATTGTACTTAGGGCAATGTGGACATAAGGCCAATTCTCTGTCTACCATAGGTGTCATATAAGGTGACCACCAAACTGCCCGTAACTTTTGAACAACTTGGGCTCGTGAACAATGATCAGGTCCATGCATTATTCTAATGGCTGTCGGTAATAAGGACAAAGGTAGTACAAAATGTCCTTGAGAACTACGCCACAATCCATCGTGGGGGTGTGTTAACCGAGCCTCATATTCCATGTCTTTTCCCCCTCTCCTTCCTGCCTCTTCGATCAGAGACAAAGTCCGTGGGCTTGGCAGGTCTGGGTAATCAGTTTTGGCCTCTATTATAAGCTACTCGCTTCCATTCTCTTCAATTTTTCCAATTCTTCATCTCGTCTTTTCTTCTCTTTTTGTTTTTCTATTGTCTCTTTTAAATTTTTTAATCGTCTATTTTGTGCTTTCTCTTCCAACTCTTGCTCCTTGAGTCGTACAAATGTTTCCATTAGTTGCACCAAGTCCTGGTTTATCTCTTTTGCCAGTGATTCAGTTTCATCCAAACATAACTCTATCTTGGGATCTGTGTGGCCTTTGTATGTTGACTTGGTCCTGGGCTCTGAGCAGCATGTTGGGCCTCTTGGGTATGATAAATGGCTGCGACATACTGGGGGTACGGAACGGCTAAGGGTAAATTTCCTCCTAACTTCTGGGGTTTTATCCCACTTATCATATTCACCGCTGTAATCATACTCTCCCTGCTGTGTGCTACTCATTTCTTTTTCTGTTTCTTCCTCTTCTTCTAAAACTAATTTAAGTTGCCCTGTAATCTTTACCTTTCTGCCTGACTCTATCACAACTAGGTACTGACCTGCTGCGCTAGGGTGATAAGGTGGTGGCTTATGATTAATGTACTCAGGGGCTGTTGGGCTCTTTTGCTGTTCTACTTTGAAATATTGCAGGATGTCTCTCTGTTCAGCATGCCTCTGTTTTTTATGCAAAAGCATCCGGTCCCGTTTTTTATCTTTATTTCTCAATCTTTCTTCAACTTCTTCACAGCATGAAGGATCAAAGCTGCCTTCTTTAGGCCAATGATTTTTTCCAGATGTCATCTTATGCCATTTGGTCATGCATTTTTGAATTTTGCGTTTATTGGATGGGTTTGTCAATATTACCAATTTGGCTGGCGTCAGCCCGTCAGACTGTTGTTTGCTCATATTGATTCCCATGGCTACTAGCAGTCACTCAACCGTCAGGTCCGTGCTTATTCACCAGTCTTTGTAATCCTCAGTTAATTTTTATCTTAACTGGTTCTGCTCTCTTCAATACAGATCGTGTTTATTTTCCTTTAGTTTCTTTCCAGTTAATTTACTTCCTAAATTAAGATCTTTTCAATTTTGAGATAAAATCTTTAATAAGACAAATTTGTAATGTTATTTTGCACTTTCACTAATTCTATACCTTATATATTTTACTTTATGTAGACTATAGTTTGTAATAATATATACTTATAATATCTTTATCTTATAAAGCTTACAATTTCTTCCAATCTTATTTAGGAATTTTGTTAATTTATTTCATTCTCATAACTCTTGTGTTTTTTTCAGTTATAAATTTTGTTTTCCAATCCTTATTAATTTTCAGGTTATTCCTTTTAACTATATTCTGTACTAATTACTTCTATTAATTTATTATTATATCTTTAAGCTTTATCTATATTATAATCTTTATTTATTAATATCACCCACCCCTTACTTCCCCTCAGTTACTCAGCTCTTTCACTCTACACACTAACACAGACACACAAGACAAATGATTATATATATATACAGTGCACTTCTTTTTTCCTCACTGCTTCCTACAGTGGCATCTACGTTTTTCCCTGCTGCCCCGGCTGCACCCAGATAACTGGAAATGCATAGACGTCCTCCGGATGGTCAGCGGTACTATTCTGGCTATCCCTTAGCCTGGCTATTGCTTAGCCTCTCAATACCTTTTCCTCACTGTTCCCTACAGTGGCACAATACCTTTTCCTCACTGTTCCCTACAGTGGCACAATACCTTTTCCTCACTGTTCCCTACAGTGGCACATATTCCAATACCTTAAGACTACTTAAGCCGTCTCGTGGAGCACCCTGACTACCTTAGTCACTGATACCCTCACGTAACACGCGTACACTATTGGTTCCGGATTTATGGCTTCCACAGACTATGTATCAATCTGTCCCTTTACCAATCATCCGCTCAGAACAACCCGTGTTAAGCTTAACTTATTTACAAAATAATTCAAACACAGAACAGTTTAACACAAACATTAATAACACTTAAAACATACATTCATATATACATATATACATACCTGGACCCTTCCTCAGCTTAGTCTGTCTTTATATACTCTTATATAAATTCTTATCAAATTTGGAAATTACTTTATTAAATTTGGAAAACTAGGTTCTTTTAGGAGAGCTTTGTGACGTCTGACCCCCACAAGCAGCAGTCGGAGGCTGGTTCCCCACTAATTTAGAAAATTATAACGAATTGACTCACCTTTAAATGGTGAATTATGGGCCCTTGGGGTTCCACGCTCTCCAGCTGGTGCCTGCAGATCGTCCGACGTCCCCTTTTTGCTTTCCTCCTGGCTGGCTCGCCAATTATGTCGTCCTATAATTCTCTTCTTGACGACTTAAAATTGAAGCTAAGTTAATAATGAACAATTTTCAATCAATACATCAAAATCAATAGACCGACATCACTAGATGGAGGTAGTCTATGCTCTAGAAAGTTACTTTTCAGCCTTTTAACAAAAATGAGAACACACACACAAGCACCCACCAACCCACACACACACACACACACATGATACCGACCTGTGACGTACACAGACGGCAAGAATGCCGTAGCAGATTCCATTTCACCTCAGTAATCTGTTTTGTCAGCGTATTTCAGGTTGCTACTAGTTACCAGCGCTCAACTTGTTTGTTGGTGGTGGGGCTTAAAGAAAAGGCACTAGCGTCACCCAGTGTATGAGCGTCTTTTTCCCTTGAGGAGGTCCGCTCTCGAAGCCTATGAGAAATGCATAGACTGGGGGAAAATAGCCCCGCCTTCCCGCAGGCTGCAGCGGGATGTACTTGGA